TTTTGAACCCTTATTACGTGTCGCCTACATCTTGGCGCAATATTTTTAATAGGTGCGTTTTAATCATCCGCTTCTGCTTCGGAATTGTCGGTTTCCTTGTTTTAATCTGACAGGTTAAAACGACTAAACCGACAATTCCGGAAGCAGAAGCGGATAATTAAAACGCACCTGATATTTTGCTTGCTGCTGTCAGTGTCAGTAAATATTAATTTGAAATGACAGTTTATTGCTAAAGAATCAGTTAGCTCACTCGAACCAGTTGAAAGTTCCAAAATAACATCCACTTCAGGGATACAAATTCAGGATACGCAGAATACTGTTGTTTTATTATAGGCGGTTGTCATATATTGTATTATCTGAGTTGCACAGTGTATAAACTGAAACATTGAGATCAAAAGTACCGACGCAGAGTGAGCGATCTAATTGTTTAGCTGTAAACTGTGTTACAGGGTTCAAAATGGCCGCGCCCTATGTTGGGCGTGTCGGACCTCTCTCTTGCCTCGTATAGTAATCAAAGTATGTGACTGACACTGACAGCAGCAAGCAAAATATCAGGTGCGTTTTAATCATCCGCTTCTGCTTCCGGAATTGTCGGTTCAGTCGTTCTAACCTGTCAAATTAAAACGAGAAAACCGACAATTCCGAAGCAGAAGCGGATGATTAAAACGCACCTATTAAAAATATTGCGCCAAGATGTAGGCAACACGTAATAAGGGTTCAAAATGGCGGAGTTTTCTATCTCATTTTAAAAGGCACTCAGAAAGCTGCGCAGTGCGACCATTCTCCGTTTTTATAATTAAACCATTCGAAAATTTTTATGAGATCTGTTTCTATTAATAATTTTAACTAATTCCAGTTCTCTGCATTTCACAGAATAACTGTGTCGTCTGAAAAACTTACAATATTTCCAACTGTATTTAAACGAAAAATTATTTAAAATAAAATTAAACAAGATAGGACCTAGACAGTAAATAACTTTGTAATCAATTATATAAGGTGCATCACATTCATACAATAAACTTCTATTATACGAAAAAACGGCACATGATATAGTTAATAAAGAATTTATTTACTTATATACTTCAACCGGACCACTTTTACTGTTGGAACAGCCGTTGGTAGAAGTCTTATTTTTGGTTTTGAGGTTCGATCAAAACAATCTGCTTTAAAATGGCGTGAACACAAAAAATTAGGATATTTTGGCTCACAATTTGTTTGTTGCATGAACTCAAGCCATAACTTTGTTTTTTGAGAATCTTTAGGAAATCTGAAAATTGTCTACCTGGGATTAATTTATATAATTTGTAAATCTATAATCTTTAAGAAATCTGAAAATTGTTTACTTGCAATCAATTTATAAATCTAAATTGAACAATAATTTATTCATTTTATTTTAACAACTACATAAATATCTTAAAATTGCATAAAAGAATTGTTTAAATAAAAGTATATATACCCAATAAACCATGAGACTACGCTCTATGAGCACATTTGATCGCAAACGCACTTACCATGTTTGTTTACAAATTTAAAACATTAAAAATTTTAAAAATCTTTAATGTGGTTGAAAATGGAGAGAACAAAATACTTGCTTATGAAATGTAGATTATTCCTTTCTACTTTTAGCTGTGTTGCTATATCCACAAGACGAAGAACTGACCATATTGTCTTGTTTGTCTTTTAACGCGGAAAATTTAAAATTAACAGTAATACTAAATAAATACTAAAACACTAAACACTTTTTAAAAATGTCTACAAAACATACGCTTGATAAAAGTTTAAATTAACACATAGAACATCCAAATTATTAAAAAATTTTAATCACTAAAATTATAAACCAATTTTAGAAATCATTTATCATGTGATGATGAGTCATTCATAGTACAACATGGCTACCACTTTCGTCAGATCGATTAGATTAACGCGGATATGGCATGCTCGTTCCTGGCTATATATGTTCTAAGGTAACTACATTCTTTGATTACTATCACGACACACAGAGATTAACAGTATGTTCCTGATGCGCATGCAGCTGACTGACGGTGACGTCATGTGGGACATTTAATTTATTATTGTATCTTTACAAGTTTACAACTATTATCATCTCTAATAATATTATAAAACTTACAGACTAGTCCCAATAAAAATTATAGTAAAAAAAATTAAAATTTGACATCCATACCTCCATGCACACCTAGACACTTCCATCTACCTATTTATTAATGTAACACAGTACAACATACAGTTTTAAAAATTGAGAAAAGAATTTAATTACAGTAAAATTTTCCAGTTTATCAACCTATATTATTTATTCCTGGTATGGCAAATAATACTAATAAAAATATTAAATTTTCTGATAAATTATAGATATTTTGTGCAAAATTCATAACCTGTCTTTATGTAAAAAATATAGACAAAAATACAAGTTTGACTCAAATTTGTACTTTCTGGGCGTGGTAGTTCTCTTTTAATCTCTTTTCTTAGTATGTGAAATAAAAATAAGTGTGCAGAAACAAATTATTTATTTATAAAAAGTAAATACACAAACAAAAATGGCTGTAAATTTTTGTCAAGTGTACTTCGAAAATACTCAAAACCAATTGTCTGTTCATTTACCTTATTCTTATATATGATCGTGTCCTGCTCATGCATGGCATTACTTTAAAAGAACCGTTGTATTGGAACAGGAAACTACTGTTTTATCTACTAAAATTTTAAAATACCGATTTATTTTCTTTGCTTAATGAGGTCCGTGCACCTGGTGGAATTCAGTTTCCTTTTCTTGTGTCTATGTTTAAGAAGAATCTCACAACTACTCTCCTCAAAGTGGATAGGGCAACTTCAATTAAGTTTGTCCTTCCTTCAATAAGAATTTACCCATATTTTGTGGCATTCGGAAATATCTCCACCGCGCAGCCCGGCATTTTAAACATTAATTTAGTTTTTCCTTGTTATATATATATGAAAATATAGTCACTACTAACACAAAAACAAATAAATTATTTTACAGGGGTGGGTTGGCTCAGTGGTTAGAGTCATGACTTTGAGATCGGAAGGTCTCAGGTTCGAATCCCACCGTTGGCCGGGATTTTTTCATTTAATTTAATTATTTAATATTAATTCTGATGCCTTGGTAGGATTGCCTACTCGACCATTCACTGTTGGGTTCTAATTAACAGTGCTGTTACTAAAGTGGCACTGGGAAACAGTAACAAAGCATACACAGAACACGAGGCTAATGGCTGTAGTAGTCGACGCCGATGACACCAAATTAAAAAAAAATAAAAAATATTTTACACTATTCAATCGAAAAGTGTCAAAATAACTTTAAAGTTCGTCCCGCATTACGTCATTGCAAATTTTGAATCGAAAGTCAGCATACCATTGATATGTGTATCGTAATTACTATAGGGTGTAAGAGACCTACATCCGTATGCATAGTCGATCCGCCGGCGAAAGTCCAAAAAGCTCTGGCGACTCGCCGGAGATTGTCACCGGAATGTCATTTCACGCAAGTTTTCATGTTCTTTTATAAGGAAAAATTTGATATTCGTTCATTATTTTTTGAGTTTTAAGAAATGAATCATGAATAAAATGCGAGAGATACCGGTGATAATCCCTATAAAAGAAAATAAATCTTGCGTGAAATGACATTCCGGTGACAATCTCCGGCGAGTCGCCAGCTTTTTGGGCTTTCGCCGGCGGTTCGCCAGCGAATCCTGGCGATACGCCGAAATGAATCTCTGGCGAGTCGCTGCATACGGCTGCTAGTCTTCATAAGAGAGACGTCCGACATAGGGCGCGGCCATTTTGATACAATTACTACTAGGTTAGGCAACACTTTTTCCCAAAATGTTAAACTGGTATTTTGAGATTTTAAATGAAGACAACAAATATAGAAGAAACGTTTATAGTAGTAAACCTAAAATAAATAAAAACAATTAATAATATAAATGTTACAAAAAGTAAACAATATTACTTACATGTTTATTTATATTATTTCGTTTGATTTTAATACTGCTCCTATCTATTGAAGTAAATGCTTCAATTTTCTTGGTATTTGCCTTCTACAAAGAATTGTTTCATGATTGATCACATACCTTTTTACATAAGAGCAATAAACATTTTCCTCAAAATGCTGAGAACAGACATAACAGAGTTTAGCTAAAAATCTAAACAATTTGATTATTGGTTTGTAAACAGTGTTCAAGTTAAGTGCTCGAAATTCCTAAGGGACCTGAAAAATAAAAGTATTTAGAATACAACAATAGGAACATAATTAAAGTAGTTACTGTTACTTACAAATGGAAAGATTTAACATAAAATCACCAAGTAAAGCAAGGTTTTCAAGATATTCATTATTTGTTAATGGTTTTGTAAAGTGTAGGTTCGTAAATAATATCTTTGGGGACTGACTTTGGGTAAATATTATAACATAACCACTAAAACTATTGCGCCAAGATGTAGGCACATGTAATAAGGTTCAAAATGGCGGAGTTTTCTATCTCCTTTTAAAAAGTATTCAGAAAGCTGCGCAGTGCGACCATTCTCCGTCTAGTAAGAGAAAATCAAAGCATGTGACTGTAACCAAGTATATGTTGTAGTAGCTTGTAAAGAAATGCCTTAAGTGTCAATAAATAATTACATTTAAAACATAAAACTAAAGAAGGAAATGAAAAAAACTTATTTCTAAATTATAAATTAATAATTTTCAAATTATTCACTGATGAATAAAGGATTGATTTATAAAATCATAAATTCTGCTTTGTATCAGAAAGTAACGTTGCCAAATTGATAAAAAATAAAAAAAATGCAAAGAATTTATTGGAATAATTTTTTGTTTTATCTTATTGAATGTTTTCAGTGCTAATATAAAAAATATGAGCCATCTTAATTTTAATAAAAAAATAACAAACCCTTATATTTTATAAATTTTTGATGTGGACCAGATTAAACAAAATAAAAGTCCTAACAATTTTTTAATTTTATTAAAAAACATTTCCTAACTTATTTTTTCGAAAACAAGCTTCGTAATATTTACATTTTTACAATTTCTTTTTTTATCAAACATTTCAATTCAAAAAATTAATTTATTAAGTACCAAATTAAAAATTTACATTTTCTAAGGCAAAAAATATTTAATAATTATAATAATTTTATTGAAAAGAAAATATTTATGTAGGTAACTTAGGGCCGATTCCACAGTTGTGTTAAACGAAGTTTAAATTACTAAACGAAGATTTAAAGGAAATTATTAATGTAAAAATGTCATTTTAATCTTCATTTAACACAACGGTGGAGTCAGCCCTTTACAATCGAAAAATAACATTTGACATCTGACTAATAAATGACATCTTACATTGAAAAAAATGACATCTAACATTGACAAATGACATCTAACATTGTCAAATAATATCTGACATTGTCAAATGACATCTAATGTAGAGAAAGAGAAACTAAATACCACTATTGGAATTGTATTCAAAAATGTGGCAAATTCAGTAATGCTCCCCCATGAGGACGACTACTAGAGCAGTCCAACCGGTGAACGGTCTGCACCCACTACCTTCACCAGTTTTATCATTGTACTGCTCCCAAATGTACCCGGTTTTGTAGTATTGCTGCATGACGTTCTTGATGATGTTCTCTCTGAGCTGTTTGTAGATTTTCCCAGATAATTCTCGATATGGTCCTTCGATTTTGGAATAATGATGCAACGATCTCGCTGCCAGAAAATTGACGTTGACCCAAATCTGTCCACGCCAATACGGAGGGTCGTGCTCGGTATTTCGTTTCATATACATCGGGGCGTTTTTCGATAACGATCTTAGACCAAACGGCGTCCATAGTAGCTCAGGATTTCGAATGTTCTCCAGAATTTTTTCCAATTTTGGTGACTCAGGGTCGAGTATTTGTAATAAAAAGGGAAAGAGACTGACGTAGCCCAAAGTGGAGTCCACCAAACGGTATTCCGGTGTTTTAAAAGCAACCCGTTGCATTTCGAGATTTTGATTTTGAGATCTGGGTAGAGGTCTAGGCCGTTCTAACTTCACAGCGTCGGTATGTAGACCGTAATCGGCGTAAATTTTGGCGTATTCTGACCAATGAAGGCTGTCCATGAGCTAAAAAAAAAGGTTCTTTTATTAATAATAATAATAATAATAATAATAATATATCTTTATTTTTATATGAATAATACATAAAAAACAAGTCAAGGTACATGAGTATATAAATAAAATAAGAGACAGATATAATAGTAATAAAATAAAATACGAATCAAATAATAATAATAAAAATTAAGATTAGCGACAGTTATAATGATAATAGTAAAGAAAAAATACAAATGCAAAATAATAATTAACATTAGCGACACTTATAATGATATAGGTAATAAATTAAACACAAATGTAAATTGTAATTAAAATTGGACTTAGTGAAATGATAAAAACACTTCAAGGGTATATGGATTAACATGGTTTATGTATTTTTTAAGATTTTTTTTTAAACTGATGACGTTTGAGCATTTTTTAACATAATCTGGAATTAAATTGTACAACATACATCCATTAAAAAATGCCCCTTTTTGAGCAGAATTGTGTTGATTAGACTGTAGAGAATTTTTATATCGAGTAGAGTATGAATGATCTTCATTGTGTAAGTAAAAGAGGAAAAATTGCATCTAACATAACATAAAAGCTCATAGATGTAAACTCCGATGGCAGGTAAAATATTAAGCTCTTTGAAGGCACTTCTGCAGGTTTCTCCAGGTTTAAGGTTAGCTAAAATACGTATGGCATATTTTTGGATGATAAAAATTCTATTGAAATCCTTACAGAGACCCCAGTGTATAATACCATACCTCAAATGGCTAAGAAAATTAGCAAAATATAGAGTTCTTGTTATATGGCTACTACATTGTTTAGTCATGACACTAAGTGCAAAACAAGACGACATGTTTGTCCCAAGTTAAGTGGCAATCCAGATAAATACCAACTAATCTTATATTATTAGCATATTCCTAAGAGAGTTGCATTTACGAGTATATGTATTCCGTTGCCAATTTTTAGATTTAATTTATTAGATGTAAAAACCATGCAGGCAGTTTTATCATTATTTATAGTTAACTTGTTGTGATACATCCATTCTTGTAGACTTGGAATATATTAAATTCAGATTTGCTTGGAGATTAGAGAGTTTTAGGAGAATATTTGTGTCATCAGCATAACAGACAAGTGAATTAATTGCATGGCCTAAAGCACATTTTAAATGGTTAGCGTAGATGATGAAGAGGAGGGGAGCAAGTACCGAGCCCTGCGGTACTCCTAAAGAAATTTCTACCGACTCAGACAAAAAGGTCTCACAACCAGATCTAATAGAAACTTTTTGAGTGCGAGCCTCTAAATAAGACTTAAACCATTCATGTACTATACCACGTATTCCATGATGCTCGAGCTTAATCAGAAGTAACGAGTGATTGACACACATAGTCAAAAGCTTTTGTAAGGTCTATGTACAAACCAATAGCTGCAGATCGATTGTCAATTGCATCTATAACCTCTTTAACAAACGTAAAGAGTGCCGTGTCAATGCTCCGTCCTCTAAATAAACCCATGCTGTGAATCATTATTAAGTTTTGTATAGTTGACATGTAAGTACTGTATCTTATGTATTTTTTATTGTATTTTAAATGAATGTTGATTCTACATTTATGAATTTTTTATATTTTAAATGTGAAGATGTATTGACATGTAAAAATCTCTTTTTTTTTTGACTAAATAAACGATTTATTATACCTTGTTAGACCAAAAAAACTTACTTCGTTATCTAACAAATAATCTGCAGTTTGTTCATATTTGTGTCCGTCAATGCCCAATACATTCGACAAACGTGCCATAGTCTTCGCTGCTACAGCCATCCAACAGTACAAATCAATATGTCTCTCTTCATCTGTAGGATGCGAGGCCCTGGGATAGTCGTCCAAACCGGAAGCCAACGTTTTAGGATTCAACTCTCTATTGGTCTGTCCGTTTCGACCGCGCCATCTGTAAGAACCCGGTAAAGGACCCTTCTGGGTAGTATTAAACCAAGTAAACCAAGCCTAAAATAAATTTCGTACAGTTTCATTAATTTTTGAACAAATTTCCTGACCTGCAATCTAGGATACAGCCTCTCGAGCAACCTGAACCGTTCCCCATTCAAATCCTCCTCGTTTCTATTCAAAATGCTCTCTAACGTCAAAAAGAACGTGGGAGGATTGGCGTTGGTGTTTCTTTGAACGACGAACTCGCTGGGGACTTTTGCTAAGGCTTCCACGCCGAGAATTTGCTCTCTGGCTATCCATCCTTCGGCGTTGATGAGGTCGAACCAGTGACTGATGATGTCCAATTCGGTGTCGAGGTTCCATTGGGAAATTAGCAAACCGTGGAAGCCTTCATCCCAGAGGAAACCGCGCGGAAAGAAACTCCTGAAAATATGAAGTAAATCTTGAGAAATTTAAGATTCTAGACAAAGTAGTTCTGAAGAAATCGGGGGTTAAAAGTGACAATGTAAATTTTCTTTAATACCAAATTTTGATTTTAGACACCTTGTCAGTCATAAATTAACCCAGGTATTGAGGATCAGGCTTCAGAAATCTATTTTGACAACATTTTAAAGTAACTCTTGACAAATTGAAGATTCTAGACCAACTAGTTACGAAGAAATCGAACGTTAAAAGTAACAATTTCTTCAACAAAATTTCGATTTTGGTACCCTGTCAGTCAAAAATTAACCAAGGTACTAATGAGCACGCTTTAATAATCTATTTTTTAAACTTTTTTAAGTAAATCGTGAAAAATTTAAGATTCTAGAGCAACTAATTCTGAAGAAATTGGGGGGTTAAAAGTGACAAAGTGACATTAGTACTCTGTCAATCAAAAATTAACCAAGGTTAATCTATTTTTACAAACACTTATAAGCAACTCTTGAGGAAATTCAAAATTCTAAAACAACTACTAAAAAAATCTGGAGTTAAAAGTGGCAATGTAAATTTTATTCAACGCCAATTTCAACTTTGACACCATACCACTCAAAAATTAACCAAGGTATGGAGAAGCAGGCTTCAACAATGTATTATTACAAATTTGTAAGTAAATCTTGAGACATTTAAGATTCTAGACTAACTAGTTCGGAATAAATAGGCGGTTAAAAGTGATAATCTAAATTTTCTTCAACACCAAATTTCGATGTTTGGTACCCTGTTAATCAAAAATTAACCAAGGTATTAAGGAGTAGGCTTTCGCAATCTATGTTTTAAACTTTTATAAGCAACTCTTAAGAAATTTAAGATTCTAGATTAACTAGTTCAGACGAAATGGGGGTTAAAAGTAAAAATGGAAATTTTCTTCAAATTTGACACCCTATAAATCAAAAATTTACAAAAGTACTGAGGCTCAGGCTTCGGCAATCTATTTTTACAACTCTTTTAAGTAACTTTTAAAAAATTTAGGATTCTAGACCAACTAGTTCTGGGAAAATCGGGGGTTAAAAGTGACAATGTTAATTTTTTTCTACACCAAATTTCAACTTTGACACCCTGTCAATCAAAAATTAACCAAGGTATTGAAGAGCAGGCTTTCGCAATCTATGTTAAAAACTTTTATAAGCAACTCTTGAGAAATTTAAGAATCTAGACTAACTAGTTCAGAAGAAATGGGGGTTAAAAGTAAAAATGTAAATTTTCTTCAACACCAAATTTAAAATTTGACATCCTGTCAATCAAAAATTAACAAAGTTATTGAGGATCAGGCTTCAGCAATCTATTTTTACAACTCTTTTAAGTAACTCTTAAAAATTTAGGATTCTAGACCAACTAGTTCTGGAAAAATCGGAAAATGTAAATTTTCTTCAATCCCAAATTTCGACTTTGATACCATTCCAGTCAAAAATTACCCAAGGTATTGAGGAGCAGGCTTTCGCAATCTATGTTTAAAACTTTTATAAACAACTCTTGAAAAATTTAAGAATCTAGACTAACTAGTTCAGAAGAAATGGGGGTAAAAGTGACAATGTAAATTTTTTTCTACACCAAATTTCAACTTTGACACCCTGTCAATCAAAAATTAACCAAGGTATTGAGGAGCAGGCTTTCGTAATATACGTTTAAAACTTTTATAAGCTACTCTTGAGAAATTTAAGAATCAAGACTAACTAGTTCAGAAGAAATGGGGGTTAAAAGTGACAATGTAAATTTCAACTTTGACACCCTATAAATCAAAAATTTACAAAAGTACTGAGGCTCAGGCTTCAGCAATCTACTTTTACAACTCTTTTAAGTAGCTCTTAAAAATTTAGGATTCTAGACCAACTATACTCTATTCAACTTAAACGCAAGTACGCGTAAACACAATAGCTCCTTCATCATAGCACATTAAACTAGTGGATAGGGAAAGGTTCAAAATTGGATCACTGGGCTGACCAATACCAGTCGGGCTTGTGCGTATCATGCTGTGGTCAAGCGGCTATTGTGTTTATGCGTTACTTGCGTTTAAGTTGAATAGAGTATAGTTCTGGAAAAATCGGGGGTTAAAAGTGACAATCTAAATTTTCTTCAACCCCAAATTTTTGAATTTGACAACATGCCAGTCAAAAATTAACTAAGATATTGAGGAGGAGGCTTCGGCAATGTATTATTACAAATTTTGTGTAAATAAATCTTGAGAAATTTAATATTCTAGAGCAGTGTTCTTCAATCTGTGGGTCGCGAAGCTGGTTGCCGGCTGAAAGAAAAAGTCGAGGTTCTTACACAACAAAAACACAATTTTAGTGAGAAGGATGTACTTTTTTATTTTTCAAAAAATTATCAATTTGTGGTGCTATTTTTGAAATGTTAACAATCAAATCATTTTCTAATTGCAGTCTATTTATCTTTTTAGTTTTAATGTCTACCATTGAAGAAAATGTTAGTTCACACAAGTATGAAGTGGCGAATGGCACTAATAATTTAAGAGCTTCTTTTGCCAGCTCTGGATATTCGTGTTTTCTTTACATCCAAAATAGGTCGACACTTTGCGAATAAAATTTGCCATCAGCAGCTAAATCTAGAAGACATTTTTTATTTTTGTGGTGATATAAGCCAGATCTATTGATTTGTCCAAAAACGGGTATAAAACCCATCTACGCCCATTGTCAGCTTCAGAGTGCAAGTCTGGAAAGTATGTCAAAAGTTTCTCTTGTAAATTATGCAAGCTCTGTATCATGCAAGGAATGTGAGCCGATACTGCAAAATTTTGGTCTGTTGCATTATCTTCAACAATCTTCTGAATACATGAAAAAGACTCAAACATTTTGTTTTGCAGAGAGGTTGACCACAAACGAAGTTTTGCGTGAAATGCTTTCACTTTATCTTTAGATGTTAAAATATTTTCTTCTCTTCCTTGAAGGTTCTTGTTCAAATTGTTAAGGTGGCTAAAATATCTGCCAAAAATGCTAATTTCAAGAGCCAAATAGGGTCAGAAAAACGATAAGCATATTCAGATTTTGCATCTTGTAAGAACCTTAATAATTCAGCTCTCAGTTCCAGAACTCTTGTCAATATCTTTCCTTTGGATAGCCACCTGACCTGTGATATAAGATATTTTGATGAAGCGAGCCCATATCTTCACAAACGATTCTGAATAGCCGGGTTTGCAAAGCTTTACCTTTGATAGAATTAAAAATTTTTATTACCTCCGTCATTTACCCACGTCATTTAAATCAGAAGGTACTACCTTAGCAGCTAGAGCCTATCGATGAAGAAAACAGTGTGTCCAAGATATGTTTGGCATTATCGATTTTAATTTTGCAATGAGTCCGCTATTTTTGCCACTCATAGCTTTAGCGCCATCGCTACAAATAGCGATACATTTTTTCCAATCAATATCGTAGTCGCAAGTGCTTTCTAAAAACATCGTACAAACACTGGCCAGTAGTGTTTGCAGGAAGTGCTTTGCAAAATAAGATTTTTTCTGTGATACTGTCTTCTTCAAAGGGCACAAATACTACAAACTGTGCACAGTCGGAAACATCTGTAGATTCGTCAAACTGCAAAGCAAAATGTTGTCTGTTCTTTAATTTTTCGACTACTTGTTCTTGAATATCCTTGGCCATATCTTTTATTCTGCGTGAAATAGTATTGTCAGAAAGTGGTATGTTTTTTAATTTGTTTGCCTCCTGCTTACTGACCATAATTTCAACCATATCAAGTGCTGCTGGTAAAATAAGATTTTCGGCAATTGCTTTAGCAACTCGATATGAGACTTTGTAGCTAGCTAATAATGTTGACTTGTTGACACCGGATGCCTGAACATAAACCAAACAATATAAAAGTGAATAGTCAATAAAAATTAAGGACGCGGAACTTTTGCATACCGAAATTAAGTATAATCAAAAGTTGTATGCAAACAACAAATAAATAAACATCATAAAACATCAACAGTAAAAATAGCAACAATTAGAATAGACTTGCCTTAAGCTTATCGCTTAAGTGCATTGAGGGTCTTAACAACACTTCGTGGAGACTAGGAAAACATTATTTTATTGCTTACCTGAATTATAGTATTTTGTTGCTGACTAAGAGCTTTCAACTTTCGTTCAAAGAAATCCAACGGCTTATCAGCTTCTTTTTGATGCTTGGTTGTGAGATGCTGCATAAGCTTTGACGGTTTCATACTCTCACGTGATAAAACGTCGCAAATTCCACACTGAGGTTTATTATTTATGACTGTGAACACGTATTTCAAATAACTGTCATCGTAATGTCTATTTTTTTTCGGGTTTGATTCACCACCACCGCTATTGACACTCGTACCAGATGTTGAAGGCTGCGATCTTTTGAGAAATTTATCCATTTAACAAACGCGCGGAGCAAGCGAAAAAACAAAAGAATGATGTCCGTACTCGTCGGTGACTGCGCTTAACCGAGTGAGATGAGAGTTGAAACAAAAGAACATTGCGGAGGCGCGCGCGGGGCGCTTACTGTCGCCGCAACGACAATCCGGTGTGGCAACGTCGCCGTCGCAGTTTGGCCCGCGTGAATAATAGATAAATGTACCAAAATAGGAAAAAATCATTACCTAACGTATGTAGTCTTTTAATTAAATTATTTCTTTGGCTTTCTATGACACAAGGGGGTCGCCAGAATATTTCAACCTGTAAAGGGGTCGCGAAATCAAAAAGATTGAAAAACACTGTTCTAGAGCAACTACTTCTGAAATCAGGGGGTTGAAAGTGACAATGCAAATTTTCTTCAACAGCAAATTTTAACTCTGTTCAAAAATTAACCAAGGTATTGAGGAGCAGGCTTTCGCAATCTCTGTTTAAAACTTTTATAAGCAACTCCTGAGAAATTTAAGATTCTAGACTAGACAGAAGAAATGAGGGAGTTAAAAGTGACAATGCAAATTTTCTTCAACACCAAATTTTAACTTTGACACCCTGTCAATCAAAACTTAACAACGATATTGGAATCAGGTTTCAGCAATCTATTTATATAATTCTTTTAACTAACTCATAAAAATTTAGGATCCTAGACCAACTAGATCTGGAAAAATCGGGGGTTAAAAGTGACAATGTAAATTTTCTTCAACCCCAAATTTCAACTTAGACACCGTGCCAGTCAAAAATTAACCAAGGTATTAGTTAAGGAGCAGGCTTAAGCAATATATTTTTACAACTTTCCTAAATAAGTCTTGATAAATTGAAGATTTTAAACTAACTAGTTATGAAGAAAGCAGAGGTTTAAAATGATAATGTATATTTTCTTCAACACCATATTTCAACTTTGGCAACCTGTCAATTAAAAACTATAATCAAGTTATTAAATTTTTTTACATATTTTTCCACATAACCCATAAAAAAAAGAAAAAAGTTTATAAATAGCAACTAGTTTGGAATAAATAGGAAACCATGTAAAATTGCTTCAAAAACTAATGAAATTATAAAAGACCTGTCTCCAGCAAACTAAATTTATAACTATTTTAAATAACATTATTTGATAAATTGAACACTATTGGATAACCAGTTTGGAAGAAACTGCGACAAAGACAATTTTCTTAAAATAATCTATTATTTATAAAAATTCATTTTTATAGAAAATTATTTAACAATATTTTACCTTGAAGGTACAGCCGTGAAAAGTGGCGCTCTCCAATAGTAGACCGGTTCTTTAACATAATTACTTTGAACTTTGGAGGCCCCATAAAAATACCCTATACCTCCAACCATGTTACTTAAGGCTGCTTGCGCAAAATCGATACTTTTTTGATCATATCTAAAACAAAATTTAACTTAGTATTATAAATGAAACAAGGAGTAACAGTTAAAGATAAATGTTATTTCCCACCTCTATAATTTCGTCCCTTAAATGTCACTATTCGATTTTTTGTTTTTATAATTATTAATAAAGTTGAAAAATATTAATAACCGTTATAAATCCTATTTATTTCAGCAATAAATATGAAAAAGTATTAAAATGGAAAAATTATAGGCATTTCAAGATCTCATTGTAGCGCGAGTTAATTAATTTAGAGATGGAAAATGACATTTTCGTGGAACTGTTAGTTACATTGTTTTAGTGATACAATTTAATTTATACCGACCCTTTTGCTTTGAGGTTGAAAATTCTCTCGAACTTTTCAGAAAAACCCTTGCGATGCGAATCCAAAGCTTTCGTGTAAGCATCTCCGCTCAAACTTTCCTGTTTCTTGAATCCGTTTTGATAAATAACATCGACAACGAATGGCAGTTGACCGGTTAATTGTATGGCTATTAAGTTAGGTTCTATCTAAACAAATAAAAAATATTAAGTTGAAGATAAAATCAAGTAAATGCTGCTGTTAGAGGGATTGTACAACAAACCTTTTGGTTGCCGACATATGCCGGTAATTCCCCTGCCAATATTATTTTTCTAGGCGCAGTAGGACTGTCAGCTCGAGAAAGCCTCAACGACGATATCACAGACTCTTTAAGCAGATGTAATCCTGGAGCTGTCGTGCTCAAAAAAGATTCGTTCTCCAAAATACCTGCGAAATGCATTAAAAAATCGAATTGTTGTAATTTTTCTATGACTACCTACCCGAAATATTCCGGAATTTCAACGTAAAGTCGCCCAAAGTAGATGTCCTTCCTCTGATGCCAGTAATTTTCGTAGCAGAATTGGTGGGTTCTATGAAGCCTTTAGTCTCTTCGTCTAAGGCCACGTACCAAATTAGAGACACCGCTTCATTTTTTTCGATATTGCTTCTCTAAGAAAAATAACACATGCAAAAATATTAGCCAATAGGAAGATCGTTATTTCGTAAAATAGCTCTAAAAAGGCAAAATTTGAGCTTTAAAAGAGCTATTTTCATTTTATTACAATGCTAAATAAGTGTAATATTATTATTGGAAAATATAAAGAATTTACCAAAAATTTTAAAGAAGTATTTTTAATGTTTTAAATTAAAAAAGGAAACACATACATGGAAATTAAACAAATAATCAGGTTATTACCCCAGTCAATGGCTTACATTGAACTAGAGAATTCAAGGTAGAACGTTGGCATTCTAACAAGTACAACTATCACGTAAATTTTGGATTTAAATAGAGATACTAGACAGCGAAAAAAAGATTCGAGTGAGGACTGAGGTCCAAAACTCTTGTTTCGGGACCCTAAATCCCGAAAGTAAAGTTTTGTGCACTGACTTGTGAACTATAGGTAAATATCTTTAACTTATTTTATAAGTGTTGTTTGTGTTTTGATTAATTAATTTACATATAAATGCCAATTTTTAAATTTTCGTTCCGAGTATTATATTTATCTTATATATGCATTTTATATGATATAGGTAGAGTTTCCAGTGCTATTTTAGTTTTTAATAAGTCCAAACTATATAATTCAATAGGAAGTTTATCTAGTTGTCATAAATCATAGGTTTTTATTAAAAGTTTGGATATATTATTAAGTAGTCCTTTATTCCCTAAAGTATAATTTGATTCATTTATTCTTGAGATTGTTAGTCAATTTTGTACTTATTATAAATATACATTTGTTAATGTTCTAATACTTATTATAAATCTATCCTCCCCTTTCCAGAACCAGTAAAATATTCCGAGCATTTGAGAAGCCTCGGCGTTTCCATTCCCTTAGGACTAAAAGTCTAAAACTAGTTGCCAAGAACCGCTCGACTATGCTATTAAGGGATAATTTTTGTTCTTTTAAGTAAATTTTTTTATTATTTTTATTTGCTACTGGTGAATGGATGTTCCTTCTGGATTCCAAGATCCTTTTAATGGTGATAGTGCCGCCTTAATCCCTTATTAGTATATTAACAACAGTAGCTAAAGACCACTTGTGGTCTTTAGGCTTCCTGGTTATTACATAAGTGGTTATCATTTTTTTAAACTATAATTTGTGGATAGTTTTTTGGATGGTATTTAAATTCCAAATACAATTTTTAGAACGAATGATTTAGTACATTAGTGTCAATCAAAAAAATAAATCATAGCTAAACTAGCAAAAATCAATTCGTAGGCCAAGATTCCAAATATATTTTTTTGTATTTATATAATTAGGTAATGTTATACAAACCTCCTCTTTTCCGAGTACAAAGAATATTCGATAGAATAAGTCAGACACCGAAACCACTCTCTAGGGACACCTGGCTGATTCTCACGAGAGGTGAAAATATGCCCATACACATCGTTTGTATTAAAACAAAACTAATCGTAACTCAAAACGCGTATTTATAATAATTCATTCAATCAATAATGTTTATAAATTTAAATAAAAATTATAGTTAAATAAAGTTAAAGTTCAAAATAAAGCATTTCTCACCTCCGATATACGTTCCTACTGGATATCATAGATTTAAAATAAATGTCTGACTGAAATTTCAAGTTACTTAAAGTTACTTAAAGTTACTTAAAGTTACTTAAATACTACAAAGTAATATTCTTAATATGTTATATTTAATTTATTAGGCATATTTGAACTGTGTTCTCAAGTAACATCTCACCTCCGAAAAAATTATTCGTTTTATCAATAGCTTAAAAATACGAATTTTCGCCATGTTGTTGTTGTGCTTTCCGTTTTCCCCACCACCATAACAGAACGCAGACCTCGTCGGTTGCTAAATCAGTATTGCATAAGATTTTCAATAGGAAGGTTGTTCGGTTTATTCAAAGTGAGTGATTTTGGTTTTTGAAAACTCTCACATCCGTAAACATTAAATTTAAAGTAAGTTTTTATATTATTTTTTTTGTAAGAATGAGAAATAAATTGCACGAATTCTAACGGTAGTTTGACCTAGTGATAACCTAGCTTTTTAAGGAGATTTATAAATTTTATCCTAAAAATCTCGCATTCGTAATTCTCACTTCCGTAATTTACGGGTATTACGGAGGTGAAAAATGATTACGGTGGTGAGAAATAATGCAAATATATTGTATTTCGTATTTAAGTAGCTTTTCGTTTTAGCAGGAATATGGTCCGGCCCAAAAGAAAATGCAGCGACGAGGAAAGGAAACAAAAACAACGAGAAACTGTCAAGAGGTTTCGTGAGAAAATACGAAATAATTCCAACAAATATGAAGAGGCAAAGCGTAATGAACGGGAACGTTATTACAACAGAAAAGAAGTTGGTAAAATTAAATCTATTTCACAAATGTCATACCGAGAACGCAGTCAACAACGAAAAGAGTGGCGAGAACGTAGTAAACGTTGTTATGATCGAAAAAAAGAAGGAAAATTAGTACATCAAAGATTGGAAGAAAATAATGCTCCTCCAACGCCTCATCCTATGTTGGATGAAGTTCACCAAGAAGATCGGCGACTACGACAGGGAAAATTAAAAATACGGGTACATCTTCGAAAGCTTAATAATAAAATAGCGGAGCTGACACAACAACTGGCAAAAGAGAAAAAGAAAAGTATAGAATGCGATTAAAACGATTTAAAAGTAAAACTCAAAAGAAAGATGATCCAGAGGGGACTGTAGAGAAGTTACTTCAAGGACATAGTATGTCCGCAGAAGTAAGAAAAAAATTACTTCTTGGCGACATAATTGGACGACAATTAGCATACAATTACGGTGCCCTGAAAAGTACAAAAGACAAGCAAATCTTCTGGAAAAACGTTTCGGGTGAAATAATTAAAAAGTTTAGAAAGGAAAATTATTTAAAACGTATATCTTCTTATATTCGTAAAAATTCGAACACTGAAACCAAGAGGCAACAACGAATGAAGAAAGTTAAAAAATGTGTTACTAATTTCATGGAAAGGGATGAATGTAGCCGCCTTTGTCCAGGGGAGGGTGATTTTATCAAGAAGAATAATATAAAAAATCAAAAGAGATTATTGAATAATTCCCTCAAAAACCTTCATAAAAGATTTGCCATTGATCAGAAATTCTACATAAGCTACGCTACTTTCTGTCGATTTAGACCTTTTTGGATAATCGAAGGATCTGTTGAAAAAAGAAACACTTGCTTGTGTATGATACATTCCAATATTTCCTTACTGCTGCGACGGTTAAAAATATATAAACATGATTGATGAGAGTACACCTGACGAACTTTGTAAAAGTTTGTGCTGTGAAAATGACATATTAGATGAAAAATGTTTAGCAAGAATGTGCCCTTTGTGTAAAGATAAAGAGCTCCAAATTGTAGAATTTGAGAACGCAGAAAATGTAGTTTTTGAGCGGTGGACTGTACAAAAACACAAACTGATGATTAGAGGCAAAGACAAAATCTGTAAGAAGACTATTAAAGAAAAAGTTTACACTACTAAAGAAATACTCTTACAAACGCTCAAAACTTCTATAAAAGACTTTCTGTTGCACTTAAGAAATATCCAGCATCAATATGGTGTTATCAAACAGTTGAAAAACAATCTTGGAACTGATGAAGTTTTGATCCATATGGACTTTTCGGAAAATTATTCCTGCAAATACGCAGAAGAAGTTCAATCTGCTCATTTTTGTGGATCCAAACTTCAGTTATCATTGCACACAGTAAGTAACTTACCACAAATCAAATATAGATAGACAAGTTATAACAAATTGTTTTTGTACAGTGTCAAAAAACTTACGACACGATAAAGTTGCTATTTGTGCGCATTTAATGCCTGTTATTGATAAATTAAAAGCAATCAAAAAGAATCTTAGAAATGTGCATTTTTTAAGCGATGGACCTACCACGCAATATCGAAATCGAGCAATGTTCTACTTAATAGGAATGTATTTATCGGCACAACTTGAAGTCGAAACTACAAGATGGCATTATACAGAGAAAGGACATGGTAAAGGAGCACCAGATGGTGTCGGCGGTTGCCTTAAACGCATTGCCGATTCTTTAGTTGCACGAGGAGAAGATGTTAGTGATTTGAACTCTTTTATTTCCGCTATAAAACAGAATTGTCAAGGAGTAGAAATATTTCAATTAGATTTAAAAGATTCTCAACTTGCTGATATAGAAGCAAAAATACCCAAAAGCCTCCCAAAACTCAAAGGGGTTTTTAAAACACACGAAGTAGTTTGGGCGAAAGATGGATATCTTGTTTGCAATGTTTACCTTCATCACGTTGTGAACACTATTCTATAGGAAGATATCCTTTACTTGATCAGAATTGTAAGACATCGCTTCCCGTAACACTATCAACACATAATAAGGAGCGTCTTCATGTATCTGATGTGTACTCTTCAAGTAGTGACGATGAAGAAACAAAAAATAGAAAGCAGCCATTGATTGCCAAAGAAAATAATTATGTTGTAGTAGCATTTTTGGACAAGAAAGCTGTTAAACATTACATCGGGGTCATTATCTCTGTAGATGTCGAAGATTTTACAGTGAAATTTATGCGAAAAATGCATTCCACAAATAAATTCACCTTCCCTAACGTAGAAGATATTTCCATGGTTCATAAAAATGATATTGTTCTAGTTCTCTCTCAACCTTCAATAAATACACGAGGACAGCATCTTTTTGCAGACAATCTGGACCATTTTCAATATTTGTTATAAGTTTTAATGTTTTTAGTGTTTTTTAAAAAATGTTCTTTAACAAAGTTAAAAGTATTTATTGTGACTAGTTTTTTTTAGAATATTGTTATAAAAATTAATGTTTCCGATATTTCAGAAAACAATAAATATGTTAACAGCAATTCATCATTTACTGTATAAAAAATGTAATAGTAACCGTTTTAATTACATGAAATTCTCACGGCCGTAATGTATATATAATCTCTATTTTTTCCGTAATAACTTATAAAGTGTGTAGCCACATATAGTGGGTTCTTCATCCATATGTTACCAATCATTTGCCGTAATATTTTTTTAGTAGCGTTAATTTTAAGTTTTTGAATTTTTGTTTTGGAATTTTCCACATATCGTGAGAATCACCCACCTATGGTCGCTATCAGTCAAACTGAATCATTCATACTAGAAAGTACTGGAGCCATAACAAAACTCCTAGAGACTTTGATTTTGAAGAATGCAGTATTCTAAAAAATTATGGTATCCGTGATGTATATTCTGGTGTACATTTGAGATGGCCACATTTGTGTATAAATAAGATTATTCTGCCATTTAAGTTCAGTTTAGGTAGAGATATTGTTAGTTAATAAATAAATTAGTGAATATAGTGTTAATAAATTAAATAATAAACTGTTTAGAATAAAAAATCGTTGAGTTTATTAGCATCAATCAATAAAATATCCAAGTGTTTGTTTTCACCTTTGGGTTTCCGGTTGGTCTTTATAATTCGTAGAGTGATTTTTGAGATTTAATTCCAATTTTTAAAATTTCAATAAAATAATAAATCATTAAATAGCAAGAGCTCTAATACGTTTTTTAGTCTTTTAAAGTTACGCGTTTCCGTAGATAAACATTACTGTGTCAAAATAACAAAACCAATAATTATTATAACTATGAAACATTTTTGTGAAAAAAAAAAATACGTGTGGCACTAGGGGACTGCCGCGGTAAAGCTATTGCATAGCATTTTTTATCAACTTATGCAATTATAATTATTTATTTATTTTATTTATGCAGTATTTTTTTTTCTTTGTTATTAATTCAAGTTTTTTTTTTATATTAATTCAAGTTACACTTTTTGAGCATGGTGACCGATAAGAAAACAAACTTTTTTCTTTTATTGAATAAATGAGAAGTTAATATTGTTTAAAATATTTTTATTATATTACAATACATGTAGGTTATTCAGAAATTTTTATCATTGAAACTGTAGGTTTATGGTAACTGAAATAAGAAACATAAGTTTGAGACTTGATATCCTCTAAATATCTGGAAAATATCGCGTCAATGGTGGTCCCATATTTTGTTGTGGATTTTTGTGGATTATTATTCATTTTCAAATTCAATTTTTCCGAAATTGTGTCTAAAAGAGATAGAATCAGTTATGAGCAGTTAGCAGCTAGTCTACACGCATACGTCTAGTCGCACGCACACAAACACCGTGCCGAAGTCTGCCGAAATGAAACGACGTTAGACGATGCACGGCTTTCAACGCCGCACCGCTGTGCCGGTCGGAGTGGGGGTATTAGGTTTATTTTCGTTACGGAATTTCTTGATTCGGTCGCCGCGCTCAAAGCTCGCGATAAAATCTATGCAATAGCTTAAAAAAACGACGTAAACTTTCAAATTGTTCAAAAAGATCGACTTAACATACGCTTTCCATAACAAACAAATTAAAAATAAATGTTTGCATGTCCCTTAGTCAATGTCAAAACCATGTAACCTGAAATGATCTATGAAGGTTCAAAAATTCAGTTTCCTAAAAAAAAAATAGTTTTTTAATTAATAAAAAATAACGATTCGGCAGATTTCAATGACATTTTAACAATTTGTTGATATTTTATTAAGGTATGTTTTGGACCTATACTTACGCGGGGTTTCGGATTAACAAAATTATGCAAATTAGTCATTGACAACCAGATCCTATAAGCCTCTTCCCAAGAAATTAGGTAAAATTGCCCTAATGGTCAGATTTAAATTAAAATAACATTAGGGTAGGTACTAAATTTGTTACAAATATTGCAGTTGAATAATTGATTCATTGCAAGTGTTGACATTGTATGTATATTGTAAATTTAGTGGAAATTTTAAAAATCCCTAGACGTGTGTTAGATGTAGATAGTCTAATTTGTAGTGTACATAAGTATTTTACGGATGAAAAAGAAAAAGGCGGTCCTTTAAAATCGGTAATGTCTGTACAACAACGCGAATGCGATGCTCTAGGAATTAGTGAAACCAAATTAAGAGAAGTATAAGAAGATCACCGCAAAACTCGCCCATCATTGAAAACGAAAGATATTCCAGATGGAAAGAAATTTGAAATTCGTGATACCATTTATCGAATGAGGGCCAACAAGAAACATGAACACAGAAATGTTTGCAAAATGGTTGCATGAAAAACTTCTCCCAGGTTTAAGCGAGCCCAGCGTAATTATTTTAGACAATGCACCTTACCATTCTGAAGTATTAAACAAAAGTCCAACGAATTCTTGGACTGTTGATAAAATTAAAGAATGGTTGACAAAGAAACATAATATATATCATTTCCTCAATATATATTAAAATCAGAATTATTAGGCTTGGTAAATATACACGCAAAACCAAAAACCTTTGTTGTGGATCAGATTACTGAAAGTTACGGTCATCAAGTTTTACGTCTGCCACCGTATCATTGCCAGTTTAATCCCATCGAATATATATGGGGAATAGCAAAACAATATTATGACAACCATATTGGACCTAATGGTTATAATGACGACGCAGTTCGGGAAACTTGGCGAAAATCACTTTCAATTGCAACTCCAGAAGTGTGGCGGAACTGTATATCCAAGTGCGAGAAACTAATAGAAAATTGGTGGACTCGTGAAAATAAAATAAACAAAATAAGTCCAATCATAATGGTGATGACAGTGATGATGATGACGATTATGATATTTTGGATGATAATGACTGATTTTCATTTTTGTTAACAAGTTCAATTTTTCTATTTTTCATTTGAAATTCTCTACATGGAACAAATTTTTATGTTAGAAAATATTTTATTTGAGCTAAATAACCCTCTTATTATACATAGACCATATTTTCTGTGTGAAGTGTAATATAAAATTATTATTAGGTTTATAATAGCCACATTAGACTCCATTAATGAAGAAGTTTAATTCTGCTCTCAAAAGATTCTGCATTATTATTATTTAATTAAAAAGTTGTACATTATTTTTCATTTCATTTAACCAGTTGATATTTCCCCAAAGAACAAGTAAAACTTTCGGGTACTTACCTGGAAATACTCATAAAATGTTTAATCCAAAACCCGCGTAAGTATAGCGAACAGACTGTATTAAACTTTATTCAGTAATTCTAGGGGCGTGCCCCACGAGACAAGTCTATAAGTTCAATAAGTTTTTTGTATAAAAAATAGTAAGATTTTGCAAATTTTAAAATTTTTATTATTTGGTGAATAAATTAAAAATACAACTTTTGTAGCTTTATTTTCATGTCTATTAAAAGAAAAAACATTTTATTTGTTGGTATCTGAACCAGTATTGTTTCTAGAAAATTTTTGATTGTGCCATTGGTCAAACTATGGAGCGTAGAGGTACTTTAGAATATAACGTTATTATTTAAGATACAAAAAGTTTTCCTCAAAATTTATTAAATTCAGATGGCGTTACTGTACTAGAATACCGTTTGAAAGTGCCAAAAGTTGTGAGAATCGATATTCAGATCATCAATGATGTATATAGTTATATTGATTGATCACCCATAATTATTAAAGATATGGAGTGTAGAAGAAAGGAGGACAATCTCATATGGTTGTTAACCTCAAAAAGTGTCCACCAAAAAGAATAAAATAGGGGTTCAGAAAGTAGCCAGAATGGCGGTCGTGTGACATAAGGGACCTAAAAACTACACTGTGAAAAGTGATTTTTTATTGTTCTTTTTGAAATTAAACATGTAAAGAATTGTTTCAATGAAAATAAAAAGTATCTATTTTTTTGTTTATTTGTAATTAATAAATCATTCAAAATAGACTTTTTAATTTTTGATTGTTTTCCAATATCTTGTAAAAGTAAAATTGTAAAATAAATAAATTAAAAGAGTGAATTATAATAGTGCTTATTAAATAAATTAATTAGTAAGTTATAAATAAATTATAAATAAACTGTTTTAAATAAATAAACTATTATTAAATTAAACAAATACGTTACAATCGTTCATAAAGATATGCATAAATTCATTTTTGGAAATATATTTTTAATCTTTGACGATTTTTTAGAAAAAAACTTATTTTCCTAAAAATGAATGTATGGGTAACTTTATGGATATACAATGTATTATTATCACGAGCATGTGTCATTTAAATTTAGCCTTAGATGTCTCACTACAATCGCTCAGAATTCAAATTGACATCCATGGTGGTTATGACATACTTTATTTCCTAGGTATGTTAATAGCTAATATTTACAATAAACATATCCTTACCAAGTGCTCTAAATCAACCTTAGGAAATTTTTAAATTATGAAATAGTTTTAAATACAAAACTGTCAACAAAAGACAAACAATAATAGAAAGCTCATGTTTATTGAAATCCCTATTTCATAAGATATTTTAATCCAGACCTGGGAATCTTTTAAGGGACACATAATTTTATTGCTTATCTACATCTCGAACAATAGGTAATAATGAAGGGCTTATACTAATTTATGACCTTACAATATTTCTGGTTCTACTATAGGAACAATACTGATCTGTACCCATTGTAATACAAAACTAAAGTAGGTATTCCAAAAATTGGTACCAAATAAATGCAAATATATTTTTATTTATTCAATGTCAGCTGGAAGATAAAATTGAGCTTTCAAAATACTACAGAAATAATAAAAAAATACTTAAAAATCTGTGGAGACACATATTTGCCAAATCATACAATAAAATATTTTTGTCTGTAGAACGTTTTGAACTATTAATAATGCATGAATTAGTATGCTAGTATTATCTATAAGCATCTGAAAGAATCAACCCTTAAAAAATGTATAAACTGTGCTTACCACAAAATCAACTTCTATTCTGGCAGACCAGTCTCCTCCTTTTTCGCCATCAGGCCTTTTAACAAATGAAGTTACTAATTTAAAAGGCCCATCAATGATTTCTTGTACACCAAAATTATCACCATCATGTTGTAACCAGCCATATTTTTGCAGGTTGTCACCCTGTTCACACCAGTGCCTAAACCATTCAAGTTTTTAGAAAAATCCAAACACCAAAAACTATTTTTGAAAATAGTACTTAAAAGTTTAATACTTCTGAGTAACGGTAAATTTCAATTTATTGAACATATTATAACATACAAAAAAATTAACTTATTTCTGCAATAGAATAGTTATAAAAATGCCCTACAGGGATTAAAACCAGGCTAGGTTAAGTAGCCTGTCTTGTGCTTTTAGTTCTATAAAGCATTTTAACAAATTTCAATTGAATAGTTTTAATTTCACTATTTCAAGAGCGATAAACACATACCCATGAACCAACCAAAGTCTTGGTAATTATAAATGTAATTAGTAAAAAAAAAAATATCAAAAATCAGTAGAAACGGAAATTATCTGTATATTTTTGGATATATATCATAACTTCTTGTTTGAAACTATTAGAATTGGTTATTACGGTTTTTTTTTAAGATCATTAAAGATTTTTGGGCTGCAGAATAGAAATGAGTTCTGTGTCAGGAATAGCCAGCCTTTCTAGCCAAAGTCCTCCAGGTTATTCAACAAGAGGTGTCACTATATGCCTCATTTTTGAGAAGTGGCCATTTGGTGGGCTTCTAGCACCCTGATGGTAAATGCCTGGGTAAAGTAATTCTATTCGCCTGCTCCACATGACAATCACCACCTGATTATTCATATGATTCTCTCAGATCGATATCTCCCAGACTTCTCATTGATGGTTCAGGTCTCTCTTTTTGTTTAGTTTGAACAGACAACTTTATCAAATATTGTAAACATAAATTAAATTAAACAACATTATCTACAACCTGCATACACATGTATACCGTAAAAATAAACAACTATTATAAGTGGAGTTTTATAAGCTCACAAAAACAAACAATATGCAAAAAATTCAGAGTGTGAATACAAAATGTACTCTGGTTGTAGTTAGAAGGGTTAAATATTCAAAAAATGTACATTAATTGGATAAGCATACTGGTTTCTTGGCATAGATTTTGAGTGGAGAATATAATATTACTTAATCATGAAATTAATTATGTACCTACCTTATACCATCACCTCCAGGTCGCAATTTCTGAGGAAAATACCACATCAAACCAGTAACTAAAGATGCTGGATCCCTAGTTTTCAAACCAAAATACGTCCCAGGTCTATAACTTCCCCAAAATAACTCTGGAACATCTAAACCACTTCTAGTAACTACCTGAAAGAACTCTAGTAAATCATATAATCTAAAACTACATCTTTTTCCATACCTTTTTGTCATCAAACGGGGTATTTATCCTAGTTTCCAAATATCCTAAATACCCAAAACATACTGCTATACTAAGAACTATAATAACAACAAATTGTTTCCAATAACCTAAAATATTACTAGAATCCGAAGATTTAATTTTTGGAGTACTACTTCCATTGCTACTGCTGCTATTTGTGCCTTTATCGGCCTTATTACTGTCCGAAGTGATCTGAGATCTTCGTTGACGAACCATTATTTGTATTTTTATTTTGTGGGTCTTTTCTCTACATAATAATTTACGTTGGAATATGTTTCGTTTAGAGATAAGATAGTCAATATAAACTGTCACGTTGATACATTGATAAATATATTGATATATTCATAAATCATAAATTTTACAATTTAACCTAACAAATTGTTAAAAGTGACAGTGTTATTATTTGTTTATTTGTTGACATTTAAAACAATGGCCTTGATCATCAAGAGGAGACGGTTACCAAATTTCACACGTGAGCAGGCAACCAAACATACAAAGTTGTAAAAAAAAGAATAATAATTCCAAACTCAAATGTGATCAAGATGTAAAATAAAATCAAATAAAGCTGAAAGGCATGTCTGAAAACAATTACACCTCACCAGGCATTTTATGTAATTCAATTCCTGGTGGATTATTAGCTATTGTGACTATTAGCCAAAGGAGTAGTTGTTTTTAAGAGAGAAACGGCGCTCCCTATTATTGTGACACATGCCTTTTATTTTATTTTTTACAAAGTTGTGTTTAACTGGTTGCATCAATTTAGAATTTGTTTAGATTTTTGTTTAAGAAAAGTGTTCGGTTATGCTTGGATGATTTATGTTGTAGCATAGAAAAATAAAAAGTGTTGTAGATTCGAGAAAATTCAATTGTAGGTAATCATCAAAAATTGTATTCCGTCGAGGAATCCGCATGTACTAATTTCGCAAAAAAAATTTAAACACTCAAAAATAACTGTTTTGAATACCTACCTGATAAATTTTCTTAAAAGAATATTTAAATCCGCAGTATTTTTCGATAAAAATCTAATTAAAAAACTCCAATTATAAAACCATATTCGACAAAAAGACAAAACAAAAGAGTCTGATCCAAGTGTAGACTTTATAATAAAACACCGTTATACTTTTATATGAACACTTTACTTTTTACTGTTATTAGAGATGAACTGAACTATTGTCATTGTACCTATACCGAACTCAACGAGTTTTTTGTAAACAGAAACTGAATAATTCGAAAGATATTATACATTATACAGTGAGTCCCTTTAAATCTAATATACCTATATTAACATAAACAATAATAATTTATAGGAAATATATTACGTAAACTGCACAAAAAGGGATTATTTCTTTACATTTTAACGATTTTTGAGTCGCAGATAAATAAAGAATCTGAGCAAGTTTAACTGGTTGCATATGAGTAAACTCTTAAATAATGATTTTATGTGTTAAGTATGTTCGGTTGCCTAACTAATAGGTTATTTACCTAATTCCTTTTTATTTCTGTTGTAAATTATTATTGTTGACAGTGATTTGATGTCGGTTGATTTTTTATATAGCAAATTATGAATCAAATAATCATCTGAATGTCCTTACGAATATCCTGTCAAACAAATCAGGTCAATGACAACGAGCTGTCAGTCAGTCAGCTGTCGTTTATTTATTTTCAAACTAACCAAACAAGCGATTGAAAACAAACCAGAAATGGATGATTCTCAACTAGATTCTAAACATTTACAGTCAGATATTGAGAATATTAAACAAGAAAACATGTACACCGATCCGATTAATAAAGTTAAAATAGAAGGAGGAAGTGTTAAGTTAGAAAATGAAACGTTGCCACCATACGTGCCTCTAAATAAAGTAAAAACAGAACCCCTGGAAGAGTCAGAAATTCTAAATTCAATTACAAACCACAACGATGATATAAACGAAGTTCGCGCTACTGATTATTTCGTAAATACCACCGATTTAGTTAATATCAAACGAGAAATAGAGGAAGAAAAGGAAATTTCAATTAAAACTGAATTTTTATCTGAAGAATGTCATCTACCTGCTATGAAATCTGAAGACTACGTTGACGAGCCTTGTGGCAGCAGTGAGCCATCTGAATTGTTTAAAAAGAATTCTAAGAAGTCCAGAGTTAAGCGAAATAAAAAGTACAAATGTCCTATTTGCAGAAAAAGTAAGTTAACAAATTAAATCAGTTTATTCATCATAAAAGAACATTCACATAGTGAAAGCCACTTATCAGGCTAGTCAAGTTTAAACAATGTTAACATTTTTAAAAACAATTATCTTAAAAAATAGTAAACACCTAATTACCTATATACATAAGACTACTTATATTATTAAAAGAAACATAGGTACAGTTTAAAGTTTAGGAAAACGACCTGGTTAACAGATTGTGATACCTTCATTGTGTAGTTCAAGAATTGAGGAACTGATCAATATTGTAAAATGTGTTATTGTAGAGGAAGTTAATAATTTTATTCTTTATGCTGTTCCTTGGGCTGACTAAGTTAATAAGCGTTTTCATTTTATTGAAACATTTAACCCCTATATAATTGGGAGAATTCTGATTCACTCAGAGTCTTGAGAAGGGTGCATGAATGTCATCATTATGGCGTGTATTACATGAGTGAATTTCATTGTTTAAGGTGAACTGGTTCTTATTATCATAAATATACAGAATTGTAAAATATATAAAGAGTGCACTGTTAGAATTTCATATTTCTTAGATTTTGGCAGCTTGCTATTGGATGAGCTCTATCCATACATCTTACAATTTTCTTCTGCATGATGAATGCTCTATCTATATGTGAGGAGGAACCCCACACCAACAAGCCATACTGTAACTGAGATTGTATCAGTCTGAAATATAATATTCGCAAGATGTTAATGGAAACTTTATCCCTAAGACTTCTCAAAATAACAGCTTAGAGCATAGCTTATTGATATGAAGCTCCCACGTTAGCTTAGGATCAAGAGTTACTCGGAGTTACAACTAGAAATTTCATTGATTAAGTACTTTCTATTGATTTTCCAGAAAGTTTAATTAGCAAATCTTCATCAGGAGTAATATTTTTAGGTAGAAACCTCATATATAAGGTTTTCTCACAATTTAGCTGAAGGCCATTTTCCTCACAATATCCCTCAAATTCCATTGTGACGTTATTTCCATTTTCTACTAGGGTACTGACACATTTCTCAGACAGTATATAAAAAAAAACAACTTTATCTGATAAAGTGTTTTTATTGTCGTTTATAAAAATTATAAAGAATATTGGCCCAAGCAATGTGCCTTGGGGAATGCCTAATGCATTACTCTTGCAATTGGGATGCATTTAGATTCTTTAAGATTTGGAAAAGTTCCGGTAGTGAATGATAAGTTGATTAGGTATGTATATGTATTCAGCAACCGTAGCCAGAACTCTGCCATTTATATTGTCAATAATAGCGGAACGTTTAGTAGTGGTTTTTTTCAATAAAGTTATTACTTCTGGGACTACTGGTGTGAGGAAAATCCGTTAGGAAAATTTACTGTCTAGAGGATTTGTTATTTTGTTTCCATTAATTTCTAGTTCCGGTATAGAGGAACTACAGTACCTATATGAGTATTTTTATTTTATATCACATTGAAATATAATCTTAGGTGTGTAGACAAAGTTCAGAAAGAGTAGTTATATAAATGTATAGAAGAAGTCTGTAGAAATAGATTTGTGTCATTAATACATAAAATCAATATCTACTTATTTAGTTTTGTGGAACTGCAGAATTGACAGATCTTATGCAAAATAAATTTGCCTGTTTTTCAGGAAAAAACAAACTGGTAGGTTCTGATTACAATTAGAAGAACACAGCTACGTCATCATTTGCAAAGTAATTAATTGGTTATCACTGCCTACTGGGGGTTTAGTGAAGTGTTAATATTATAGGAATATAGGAAATATTGTTTTATATCTAACAACTTACTTATTTTTTATTTATTGATAGTTATAGATAATATGTATTCAAAATTCGAAGTAATGGTTATGACGTAGAGGTGTTCTTCTAACTGTAATCGGACTCTAGTAAATATTGACACAGTACTGAGATGTTGTAAAGAAGTGTACATTTTCATATGAGCCTTTTATAATAAAAGCTGATAATCTCCATATTTCATAAAAATTAAGTTAGACTTACCAACAGATTCTAGTTGAAACATAGTATCACTTTATTTTAACTATATTTGAAATTAAAATTGTATTGTATTCGAATTTTCACACCCTTTGCGGTCATTATGATTATTTTATGGAGGGGTCAAATGTTAAAACAATTCTAAACCATTATGCATCTTTATTACACCCTTATGTTGATTGACAATTTTTTCCAATTCGAAACTAGATTGGAAAATTGTTTCTTCTAAATTTCACCCCTCTGGGATCTTTTGAATTATTTTAGTAGGTAGTCAAATGTCGATACATAATTTTAAACGTCTTTGATCTTAATTGTGGCATCCTGACAATTGATTTTTTTTTCAAAGTTGAAATTTGTTCAGGAACTTTTATTTTTCTCTAATTAAATTAAAAAAAAAAAAAATCTAACGGATGGTCAAACATGGTAAAAATTGGTCAATTTTGAGGTGCATGCAGTTTTAAAAATTTAAACTTGGTCAATCACATCCTGTTTTAACTCTAAAATTTTCGAATTTCAAGGTTCCAACTTCACATAAGATAAACTGACTAGTCTTCGACACTCTGCCAGTAATCGACAACATTATTTATTGTCTAATTTTTAAGGAACCTACAATATCTTTTTTTGAAATTTCCGCGTAAATGTAGTACCAAATGCATTTAGCAACACTGCCTAAACACGGCCGCGAATCCGCGCTCTCACTCTTAAATAACATGGCAGTTTTTGAGACAACAACGTTAATAAGTGTAGTGTTGTGTAATAACTAAAAGCACAAAATGTAAGTAGATTAATTCTTTTTTTTTATTGTGTCCTTAGTTTTTGATATATGGGTATGATTTTGTACTAGGTACTCTTTAAGGTATATATTAGAGAATCGTGTAAATCTCTTAAAACAACTTTGATTCATTTCAAGGCTTTCAGCTGATTTATCAATCACTGGCTCTGATTAAATAACCGAGTAAATAACATTTTCCAGTAATTGACATTTGTGTCAATAACAGGTCTACTACATATTGTAGTTCTGAATTAATGCTTAATATTCTATGTAACCTGGCTCTGTTGTCAAACCTTGACTTTTTTCTTTGTGACAACTAATTCCAGTGTTGACATAAAGTATCAATCGCTGGACATAGGTTGTTCCCATGGTATAAAAAATAGAAGGTAGGATATAAACTGTGTTAAAAATAGTACGACCACGTGCATGACGTCATGCGTAGAGTT